TATTATATTATTATTTATTCGATGGAAGCGTAAACCCGTTGGATTAAAAGCGCCTAGGGAAATAGGAGGTTGTGTGTTATCCAATGGATGGGAGGGAGTGGTTCCTCGGATCGGTTACTGGAATGGAATCGTGTGTGTGTGTGTGTTGTGTGTGTGTGTTGTCTACCTATTTGCTCACCTATTTGTGGTTGGGGTGGTGTCCTGCTCGTGTGGCCCCGCCTCTTCACCGGTTGCTACTAGACCCTCTCTCTCCCCGCTCCTGAGCTTTATCAAACCTCGTCTTAAAACTGTGTTGGTTCCTGCCTCCACTACGTCATTTTCTAGGCTATTCCCCTGCCTTACAACTCTATGACTGAAGAAATACTTCCTACTATCTCTCTGTGTGTTGTTGTGTGTGTGGTGTGTTTGTGTGTGTGTGTTGTGTGTGTGTGAGTGTGTGTGTGTGTGCGTGCGTGTTGTGTGTGTGTGTGTGTGTGTGTGTGTGGGGTGTGTGTGTGTGTGTGTGGGGTGTGTGTGTGTGTGTGTGTGTGTGTATGTGTGGTTTTGTGTGTGTCTGAAGCCTTATGTTAACCTTAAGTTGCCCTTCACTTAGCAGTAATACAATATAATACAGCACAATACAGTATGATACAATATGAATGCAATACAGAGAATCAGTGCCACAAAGAACTGATATATCACAGGGTACAAATTATATAATATACAATATACAATATACATTATGGTCAATAAACCTTTCGTACATATCAATGCACTACAATCAACATGTAACAAATTACATAAATTATATGTGATTATTCATAACCTATAATTTTTCAGAGAAATGTGCATTGTGCAATTTTCTATTGTTGCAATTTTTTTGTGTTTCCTGCAAGTGTTTAATTTGGACTCTCTCTTCCCAAGATGAATGGGACGTGAAGTTATACATTTAGGGATGTATTAGGAGATATTCTTCACTGTCATGCTTGTGTTGGTTATACTCAGGCTGTTAAGCACTGTTTTAGCAACACTGTTCCGGGATTAGTCAGGCCTCCTCGAGTAGGCCTACTAGAGGAGGCCTACTAGAGGAGTCCTACTCAAGGCCTCTTCGAGTAGGACTCCTCCAGTAGGTGTCCTCTGACAGACGTCCTTGAGTAGGCTTCTTGAGGTACGCTTCCTTGAGTAGGCCTCCTTGAATAGACCTCCTTGAGTAGGCCTCCTCTAGTAGGCCTCCTTGAGTAGGTCTCCTCTAGTAGGCCTTCTTGAGTAGGCCTCCTTGAGTAGGCCTCCTCTAGTAGGCCTCCTCTAGTTGGCCTCCTGGAGTTCGTCTGCCTCAGCCTCATGCAAGGAATTACCTAATAAACTTAAAACGCATGCATTATTTTGGGAAAAAATTCCACAAAGATACTCAAGTCTGAATTATTTCTGAAAAAACTCTAATATTTCTCAATCTTCCATAAAACCAGTTAGCGAAAATTACAGTCATGACTTTATACATACAACAAATTATTATTGGTTTCTTCAGTGCTTTAAAACGCATCTTAATGCTTCATTACAATACATCAACCGAAAAAAATATACCTACACGCGTTAAGAACAATTGGATTCTGAATGGTGCGGTATTTGTATATACAAGGCAAGGCAAATAATCTGATATGTTGCGATGCTCTTCAAAGACACTTCAGTTAGTCCAGTGGACACGGCGGGGCAGGATGCTGCTTAGACACAGCGGGGGGTGGATAAGTGCAATCACTCACTTCTTCTAAGATGCTCGGAGATGAATGCTGAATTTGGCGTTTCAGTATTTTCGTCTTCTGTGGGATGTATGTATTTGTGAGAAATATATATATATATATATATATATATATATATTATATATATATTATATATATATATATATATATATATATATATATATATATATATATATATTGAGAGAGAGAGAGAGAGGGCAGGTGTGCTGGGTTACCGTTTCCCCTCCCCCTCTACATAATATCCGTGGGAGATGGAGGATGGATGGGCTAGAAGTGAGATGTAACTCAGCTCTTTCCTTTCTTCCCACACCATCTGCATGGGTATTAGTGCAAAGAGCCTTCCATCACTCCCTCCTTCCTGGCCTCTCTCAGCACCACCATCACCCGGCCTCTCTCACCATCACTTTGTCTCTCTATCTCGCTCCATCTCTAGCCTGCCTCCCTTACTCGCTCCACAAGCTTGCCTTCCTCACCACCACCACCTGGGTTCTCTCACCACCACCATCTGGGTTCTCTCACCACTACCACCTCGGTTCATCATCACCATCACCTCCGTTCCCTTGCCTCCACTACCCGGCTTTCCTCGCCCCCTCTTCCCATGGCCTTAGGTTAGACTCAGGGGCCGGGAGCCGTCAGTTTCCGTCTCAGGTACCCATGGAGCCCACCTAACAATGGCAGAGAAGGTGGAGAGGGTCGCCAGGGATCACTACTTTATATTCATTTTACAGTGCCGATCTGTTCACCTCTCCCGCAGGTCACAGTTATGGAGCCTCTCATACACTCAGGTAGCAGCTAGTTTCTTACAGATCCAGTTTGGAGCCAAGCAGGTCAATCGTTCCTACAGCTGACTCTAGCTCATGGCTGGAGACTAATGAATCGAAATGTATCATTCTCTATTTTATGAATCGAACGTGGATAATTTTTCACATGAACAATTGTGCCCTCAACAACGGCAGCTGCAGAGGCTGTTCCCAGCCCCTCCAGGCCGCCGGGTGTGAACCCGCAAGCAAGCAAGTACAGACGACACGGCTAGATTCACACGCACCAAAAAAAAAGTTGCGACACGGTTTCTTGTTGTGTGTGCGTGAGTGTCAGATTGCGTGCTCGTCGGTATTGGTCCGTGTGTGCCAAGCGTGAGTGCATCAATGCCTCCGCTGGGAAGGCCGTGAACGAGGAGAGTCAACTACAGCCAAGGGAGCATGTCTGATTCAACACCAGAGACACAGGTAACATTTGTTGCCCTCCAGACTCCACCGCGGGGCGCAAACAACTTCCGAGTGGGCGAAGACGCCTAGAGGAGCGCACCAGACACTTGGTGTTGCTGGCGCACTCCCATCCAAGGAGAGAACTATCACAACTGGTTTCTTCTCCTTCAAGATGCCTGAAGGCTGCATCTCCACACTTGTGCTGTTGCAACCACACCCGGAGGAAGAACTTACGACAACATGGTTGCATCTTTCGAGTGGTTGAAAGACGCCCAGAGGATCTTCCAAGATTCTTGCTCTCCCACCGTCTCCACTCCCGGGGTAACTCACGGTAACGATACTCTCGCATCGTTAAATCTGCAATTCTCCGTATTTTTTTAATGATGTTTACCTGCCATCGTCAAGTTGATTGTAGCAGTTTTATGAACTCAAGGAACAGACCATTCAGCCTCGAAATTCAGGTGGTGGGGCCTGTCAGCCTGCTAGTGTGTATCTGAGAGGAAGGAAGGTAGTGGTTCGTGTCAGCCTGCTAGTGTGTGAGAAGGAAGGCAGGTGGAGGGCCCTGCAACCTGCTAGTGTGTGGGAAGGAGGGCAGGTGGGTCTCCGCCACTTCCTCGCCTCCTAACCTCCTTAACCCCTGGGAGACACTAAAGGGAAACCTACTATTAAGCATCCTGAGGGAGGTCACAAGGTTTCCCTAGGATCATGCTGGAGACCATGAGGTTTCACCTGAGAGGTGGAGGTCAGGCGATGACAACAGGAGAGTAAAGATGGACAGGAGAATCGTGGGAACTCCCAGGAAGCCGTGACCCATCACCATCAGATCCTCAGTAACACGCACGCAACCACGAGAGAGTTCTTAGACATTGTACTTTAAAGATTAGCTCTTTTTTTTTTCTAAAGATTAAGAAATGAATTTCTGTCCCATGAGAGAATTCAATAATGGATGATAATTTTCCTCTGAACACATCTTAAACTACTGGCAGGGTCCAAAGTTCATTTAATAATTCCCAAATATACATGGTAAGATCTCAGGAAATACGAAGGGAAGACGTTGTCTTGCATGTAGGATCCCAGGGCATATAGAGGGGAAGACGCGGTCTTGCATGTAGGATTTCAGGACATACAGAAGGAAAATAGGGTTTCGTATGTAGGATCTCCATGAAGTAGATGGATGACTATAGTTTTGCCTATAGACACAGATGGAAGATCTGGGCTTGTTAATAAATTCACAACGATCATTATGTGAAGGTAGTTACGTTGATGCTCATCTCAAAACCAACTTTGAATGAGATATCCTGTAACCAATCGCCGGCAAACCTGATTTATCATTTTCTTTACTTAGTCATCACAAAACCAGAACAAAAATAAAATGAATTCAGAAATTATTTAATTTCGAACTAATTAAGTAGAGTTCGCATGAGAGGAGCGTTCTGCCTGTATGATCCTTACGAGTTTAGCGTTTAATCTGATAATAATAAATTCTTCAGCGGTGGAGTACTCAGCTGCTGGAGTGTCTGGAGAGGAGTACAAGGTGCTGAGTGATTGAGGGATGCTGCTGCTGTTGCTGTTTTTCCTGTAGTTGAAGTAACGGTGGCGGCTCCTAGATTGTCTGCCAAGTGATCAGAAACTTTCTAGTGTCTATGGAGTAATGTTTGGGTCTTTTGGTCTGTGTCGTGATGCTGTGTGACGGCACGGTCTGCGAAGGTGATGCGAGTAGTGGTAGCGAATGACTGTGAGTAATGTGAGGGATGATAGATGGTAACAGTGAGGCAAACACCACCAGTGACAAATAGAGCAGGGAGACAACCCTACTAAATGGCATAACCATATATATATATATATATATATATATATATATATATATATATATATTATATATATATATATATATATATATATATATATATATATATATATTATATATATATGTATGTGGTGTGTGTGTGTGTGTGTGTGTGTGTGTGTGTGTGTGTGTGTGTGTGTGTGTGTGTGTGTGTGGTGTGTGTGTGCGTGTGTGTGTGTGTGTGTGGTGTGTGTGTGTGTGTGTGTGTGTGTGTGTGTGTGTGTGTGTGTGTGTGTGTGTGTGTTTATTATAAATAAAGAAAGCAGTGTAATGGTGAGCCATAACAGTGCAAGAATAATTCAGTGTTATTCATTTGATCAATAATAATAGAAAATTCAACCTTAATGCATAGTAACTATAGGCATCTATAGTCTGCCATTAAGACCTGCTATGCACACACGCACACACGCACACACGCATACACACACACACACACACACACACACACACACACACACACACACACACACACACACACACACACACACACACACACACACACAATCAGCTGAATACGTTCCTTACATAATTCTAAAAACTTTAAAGCTTCGTAATCGAACACAACGTCCGGTTAGGTAAGATTAGGTTAGGTTCGTCAGAAAACAGGACAAGTGTTTCCTGACCGGGTCTTAGTCAGATGATGACCCGCCGTTGGAGCTTTTGGTCATCTGACCGAGGCCTTCCGCTGGCTTACTGGTCCACCCCTTTAAAAATTATGGTCAGTTATAACCATTTAGTTACTGTACAACATCCGGTTACCAACACGCGGGGAAATATTGCATAGTTAAACCTAATCTCAGTTTCATTCCCGAGAACACACTAGAGTGTAACACCATTCCAAGACCTCACTGATAATATTCTATAAAGACTCCCTTTATGTTGTACCTTTTATCTATAACGCCTTTTCAGAGACCTTCCTTACAGTGGTAAAAACATGCTCTGAGCTACCCACATGTTGCTGGAATCACAAAATGTAAACACTAGGATATTTCATTCGAAACGTTTTCAGTCAAAAGGCCGAAACGGTTCCAGTAAAATATCGAACAAAATCCCAGTACAATGTGACTATGGTCCCAGACCGAGACGGTTACTAACAGAATATCCTAGTGCTTGCCGTATTTTTTAAATTTCCCTACAATGCCTTACAAAGACCTTGATAACACCTTTACTAAGGCATTATTGTAACATTTTCAAAGACCTTCCTAGGAACGCCTTTTCGCAGGTCTTAGAACTCTTCAGCAAAGGCTTTTCAGGGTCATCTCAAGAGTCACCCTTACCTCTAGGAAAATAATGAAATTTAATATCCCATTTTTTACCAAAACATGGCAACCTTGCATAGAATTGCTAAAATTGAAGTAGTATAAATTTATCTAAGAATTTTAATAGCTATAATACGCTATTGTCTCTCCAGTGAGGCGGGCGAAACTTCAGGTGATCTAACTTTGCTTCTAAGTGTGTGAGTGTCAGATATGCAGCGTCAAGTAATATCATTGGATACGTTTCGCCTACCTGGATTGGTCTAATCAAGTCCCTGGTGGGCGAAACGTTTCCTGGCGCTGCATGTCGTTTTTTTTTACTTTTGCTGGTATTATCATTTAAATAAGGTAACTTGTTTCCAAAATTGGAACTTTACCTTAACAAAGAGTAACGTCCACAAACTAAATATTCTCTACGGTACATGCTTGCTAACGCACGCTTTAAAGACACTAGTTGTTGCTGTTGCATAAAAATATTCCTGTAATTAAATGCACAATGTGTTAGCAATGACTGCATTAATTTCTGCACTTCACGAGTGTTGCAACAAGATGAACTTCGACGTTGATCACCGAGGACCTGGCGGTGTCAGCAGGCAGATCGTTGGGGGAGGTCATGATGGTGACACCAGGGGTCCTGGCGGTGTCCCATGGGGGTCCTGGCGGTGTCCCATGGGGGTCCTGGCGGTGTCCCATGGGGGTCCTGGCGGTGTCCCATGGGGGTCCTGGTGGTGTCGCAGGTCGTCTAAACAAGGTGCTGATGTAATTGCTCATTTCCTCTTCTCCCGCTCACGCACATCAACCTTGGGAAATGAGACCGTCTCTCCCTCTGAGTCAACGCGTTCATTTTCCTTGCGAACATACAGTTAGCGAACCAGCAACTGTTAGTGGTGCTCCCCACTTACCAGCAACGGTGAGTGGCTCTGACTGGTGGTGCTACCCACTCACCAGCAACTCTGAGTAATAATGAATGTGAATTACTGTGCTACCCTCTCACCTCTTATACATATGGCGACACTGAGACGCTGGCCACTTGCCTGCACTTACAGTAGTGACCCTTAACTAGCCTCTACATCGCCAATTAACGCAAATTGGTCTTATAGAATCCACTACACACATTATCAGGCGCCAGATTTTTTCCTATACACTCCCCACAGCAACGCGATGAAGCCAAGTCCCATCTGTTCCTATCCCTCACGCCAGAGGGATCTTTAACGCTGACGGCGACTGACTAAGGAACGAGGCTTTCCATGAAGTAGCTTGATAAGACGAATATTTAAATTATTACTATATCTGAAAACAAGCACTAGGCTGTTATGGGTATACAACGCAGCGAGCACTTAAAGAGTCCTCAAGGTCTCCAGCTGTCGTGTGGTCACCGGGAGGCGAGAGGTCACCTGGAGGCGAGAGGTCGCGTGGAGGCTAGAGGTCACTGATCTTCAGAACACAGTGAGTCCCAGAACTTCACACTTTGCTTTTGTAAGGGTAATTAGCTTTTGGAGTTGATGGAGAAAGAGAGATGGTGTCAGTTGATGAGCACCTGAGGCTGACTCAGTAGCAGGAGTTAATGCAACGCTGTGTTAAGGAAGGTATCCCGAGTAACAGGTGCTGGAGTTAAAGGACATCAGATTTGACGGGGCCCCACGCAGCAACTGTAGGAGCTGTCACACTTCAAAATTAGTTAGGGCAGCTGACACGAGTTCAAAGCTGTGCATATGCGGTGTTCACGGAGAAGGAAAATAGCCTTGGAGGGTGAAAGATGGAGAAGCCTTTTCCCTGGGCCGGAAGCTTCCTCAGATGTCGTAGATGGAAAGAGTGCTTCGACAGCCCCCGGGGTAAGGAGGGGTGGTAGTGTTTTGTTCGACGGGAAACATGCCTTCTGATGCGGGTATTAGGCTACCACTCCATTAGAGAAAATAAAGGATCACATAGTGTCCTTAGTATTATAGCCTCGTGTATATGAGTGGAGTTAGCACCTGCTGGTGTGTCTGCTCTTCTTCAGGAGCTGGTGTAACATAGTCATTGCCTCGTCGAGGCCTTCTCCAGTGACAGCACAGGCTGGAGCCACCACCCAGGGCTGAGAGTCAGGCAGTTCGGGCAGACCCATTGCCTTAGCGAGGTGTTGTGGCTCCCTGGCACCAGGCAGGTCCTGCTTGTTGGCCAGAACTAGTAGCGGTGGACGTGGCCTGTTAAGCGCCACGCACTGCGCTGTCTGCTGCTTCGTCAGTCGCTGCAGCTCCACACGGTTCTCCTCGAGGCGTTCCTCGCAGGTGCTGGAGTCCACAACGAAGATGAGAGCGTCGGTGGCTCGGGTGTAGGAGCGCCACAAGGGTCTAACCCTCTCCGCGCCCCCGACATCCCACACTAGCCAGTGACCGCCGCCAGCACGTACCTTTTCCGTGTTGAAGCCCACCGTAGGCACGGCGTTCACGTACTGTCCATAGCGTAGGCGGAAGAGCGCTGTTGTCTTCCCGGAAGAGTCGAGACCCACCAGCACCACATGCGCCGGGGGGCGCACCAGCGTCGCCGCCTCCCATAGGAGGTACTGCGCCGCCTCCACCACCCCTACCCACAGGCAGGCGCACATCCTCACGCCCACGCCCACATGCTCCACTCCTCACCGATGACCACCACCGCTCCTGACGGTGGTACGGCTTACCAGACTGCAGAAGACATGGTCGGAATGCTGATGACACCAGCCACAGCAACAGTAGCAGCAGCAACAACAGTAGGATCACCAGTGGTATCAATGATAGGATTACTGTCTACTGTCCGTCGCTCTCTCCAGCCTCATCTTCAGCAAGCCTCTGCTCACGGAAAGTTATATATAACCATACATTAACGCTTCAGACTGGTCGCACCAACTCGTGACTCAGTGTCTGATCACATGCTCTTGCCCGTCATCGCAGTATAATGATTTTATTTTAATGCAATCAGAATGCCAGGGCGTATCTAACACGGAGAGTAACTCAAGAGTATCCCGTCACCAGTTAATACAGTCTCTGATAAGTAACAGCACCACCCACCGCCGTGGCTGCCGACCAACTGAGTGAGGCGGCTTTACAGAGGAACCGAGACGATGGAAAACGGAAACAAGATGATACCAAACTCCCGTATCTTTATATTTACCCATGTTATCTACTCCTTAACTGCTCTTAAGAAACCGCTCTACATTATGCATATATGTCTGCTATTATCGATATGTCGGCTTTTTGTATAATTAGAAGTAAAAAACGAGTGAGTAAAGAGGATATTATGGATTGAAAATATTGAGGAGAGTGGCACCTGGGGAAGTGTGCGGACAGGTATCGCTGGAAAAGTTTCCAAGACGCACAATAACACCCTCTTCTCATAACTGTTTAAATACGATGTAATAGTGGTAATGACGTAGCCAGCGCTACAGACCGCGTCGGGAGAATCCTCACTTCTGATCAACCACAGATTCTGACATAATAAAAAAAAGTCGCATCGTCTCTGAAGCAACTGGCAGAGAATATCGAGCAGCATGAAGCCAGAGGCCTTCCCGTGGAGATATTTCGCATTTCCTGGAAGTTAGTGCTGGTATAATCCAATTCCAAGTCATATAAAACTGAAATTATTCCCCAGGAGCTTCTAAATCACCACTAATACCACCGTGGATCGTAATATATCACCTCTAAGTAAGAATATGACACACAGCTTTATAATATGGCTCACAAATAGAAGAATAATTGTGTGCCGGAAGGCCCGTGTTTTTGTTTACAAGTGAAATACCCCATTAACTTTAACTCCCAGGATGACTCAACGTGTATGCTGGGCTACCAGGAAGTGTTGGGCAAAGGGGAGATGACGGAGAGGGGAGACGAGAATGCTGGGTGAGAGAATATGGAAATGGAGTGAAAGGGGAGATATAAATGGGAAGACGGAGAGGAATTTGTTACTGAACCCCATATAGGACTGTTTGGGAATGGGAGGATAAGAATTGGGTAGATAGAGGGAGAAATTTTGAAGAGGGCGAATAGAAACAGGGAAGAGTGGAGATAGACATGGGAGAAAGAGAGGCAGAAAGTAAGAATATGTGAAATGGAAGGAAGGGATGAGAAAGTCATCTGGACCAGTTGATACCTGATATCTCCCCTCTACTTTCCTCTAGTCTTCCACCCTTCCCTCATTGATTTTAAAGCAGGGGAGTTATAATTTCAGGAAGCCCTGTCATCGCCTGGGTTGGTGGGGAGATTAAAGGAGGGGGAGTTGTAGGGGGGGGGGGGTGGAAGGGGACGCCATATGCTCTCTTACTAGCTGGCGGGGAGGAGTGGGGAAGTATGATAACATGGAGGATGTGATGGGTAATGGGGAGGAAGTGATGGAGAGAAGGTGTTGGGGAGAGAGTGAGTGAGAAGAAGAGGAGGAAAGAGATGATGGGGAGAAGGTTGGGGAGAAAGAGGAAAAAAAAGAATTGGTGTTCCTTGAAACACATTATGTAAAATTTACACACACACACACACACACACACACACACACACACACACACCCCAACACACACACACACACACACACACACACACACACACACACACACACACACACACACACGCACACACACACACACACACACACACACACACACACACACACACACACACACACACACACACACACGCGCACACACACACACACACACACACACACACACACACACACACACACACACACACACACACACACACACACACACGCACACACACACACACACACACGCACACACACACACACACACACACACACACACACACACACACACACACACACACACACACACACACACACACACACACAGAATACCTGACAGGGAGGCAACAACGAGTCATGGTACGTAATGATGTATCACAGTGGGCACCTGTGACGAGCGGGGTCCCACAGGGGTCGGTCCTAGGACCAGTGCTATTTTTGGTATATGTGAACGACATGACGGAAGGGTTAGACTCAGAAGTGTCCCTGTTTGCAGATGATGTGAAGTTAATAAGGAGAATTAAATCTGATGAGGACCAGGCAGGACTTCAAAGAGACCTGGACAGACCGAACACCTGGTCCAGCAAATGGCTTCTCGAATTTAATCCTGCCAAATGCAAAGTCATGAAGATAGAGGAAGGGCACATAAGACCACAGACAGAGTATAGGCTAGGTGGCCAAAGACTGCAAACCTCACTCAAGGAGAAAGATCTTGGGGTGAGTATAACACCGAGCATGTCTCCGGAAGCACACATCAATCAGATAACTGCTGCAGCATATGGGCGCCTGGCAAACCTGAGAACAGCATTCCGATACCTTAGTAAGGAATCGTTCATGACACTGTACACCGTGTATGTCAGGCCCATACTGGAGTATACAGCACCTGTTTGGAACCCGCACTTGATAAAGCACGTCAAGAAACTAGAGAAAGTACAAAGGTTTGCGACAAGGTTAGTTCCAGAGCTAAGGGGAATGTCCTATGAAGAAAGATTAAGGGAAATCGGCCTGACGACACTGGAGGACAGGAGGGTCAGGGGAGACATGATAACGACATATAAAATACTGCGTGGAATAGACAAGGTGGACAAAGACAGGATGTTCCAGGGAGGGGACACAGAAACAAGAGGCCACAATTGGAAGTTGAAGACACAAATGAGTCAGAGAGATAGTAGGAAGTATTTCTTTAGTCATAGAGTTGTAAGGCAGTGGAATAGCCTAGAAAATGACGTAGTGGAGGCAGGAACCATACACAGTTTTAAGAAGAGGTTTGATAAAGCTCATGGAGCGGGGAGAGAGAGGGCCCAGTAGCAACCGGTGAAGAGGCGGGGCCAGGAGCTAAGACTCGACCCCTGCAACCACAAATAGGTGAGTAAATAGGTGAGTACACACACACACACACACACACACACACACACACACACACACACACACACACACACACACACACACACACAAATATGCATGGAACCACGTACATACATATGCATATACGTCGATGTATATATACATGTACATGCATGTGTGTGTGTGGACATACACATACAGGCATATACATCTATAAGAATACAGGAAATGTGAAGAAAATATAAGAGACAGGTCAAGAGAAAAGTTAAAAGAGAAAGCAAATGAGAGGAAACTGGACAAGTATCTTCACCAGGTGCCAGATCAACCAGGCTGTGATGGATATGTAGGGCAGCGGGCCTCAAGCAGCAACAGCCTGGTTGACCAGGCAAGCACCAGACGAGCCTGGCCCATGGCCGGGCTCAGAGAGTAGAGAAACTCTCGAAACTTCAAAGGTATATCAAAGGTATAGGTCAGGTCACGAGAGTTCCGAAGACTAGAGAATTTGGAAATGCATTAAGGTAGGCATCTAACAGAAATAAAACCGGGACTAGGATCCATGCTAGAAAAACTGTGTAAAAGAGCCAGTCTGACAAGACAGCGCTAAAATTAACACTCGGGAGACTGGCGATTGAATCAGCCCATCAGTGGCGTCTGGCAGCGACCAAGGTGTTTTAAAAGATTACCCAAACCTGTTGAAAAAGACCGCCATGACCGAAAATATCGTTTTTAGTGTCAGCAAGGCGAACACTTCCTGTATGCTCTTAAGTCAATCAGGAAGAGAGCAGTGTCATCAACGCATTGGAGAGTGCAAGAGGAGCAGGAAATGGAGTAGACACCTTCCCCCTCACTCTTCATGGGTATATATACACTGAGAGGTTAGGTGTATACCACTCCTATATATATTATATAGATATATATATATATATATATATATATATATTATATATATATATATATATATATATTATATATTATATATATATATATATATATATATATATATATATATATTATATATATAATATATATATATATACTGAGAGTATACTCTGGACTATTGGTGAACAGGTTACATGCAGCATTAACTACCTTCGTGTAATCGATAGGCTCTAAACCCAATTAACTAACCTTCCTCTCCCCGCCCTCTCTAAGTGTGGGTTATTTGTGAATCAGCTGGAGAGTATTGTGCCATCATTTTTATTCCAATACGAGCCCTGGAACTCTGGAAAAGCCTAGTTCCGGATATTAATCATGTCAGATGGCAAAGTTCGGAGGCAGGTGCGGCCGCTAAATTCCCTTGCAACCTGCCGAGTCCCTTGAGACTTTTCCTGGAACTGTTTTCCCGCAGTGCGAAGCTAATGTTCCAATAATCAATTTGCAAGAATCGATATATCTATGCTAACTTAATAGAATATTGATAGAAAACTAGCATTTAACGAAGACAGGAAATCAGGTGAAGTGATACTGGTTCCTTGTCTATGTTAAATACTAATTTTCTTCTGTTAATTTTCGCGTTACTATTAATTTATCAGGATAAAATATAGCATTCTTCGGTGTAATATCTACTGTTATGTAACTATACATTAACCTGTATAATATAAGACTCTTATGTTAAAATAGAGAAATTAGGAACAGTCTAAAACAATATTATAACAGTTCTATTGGCCTGTGCTTAGGAAATTTTAATTCAAACTTAATCATTATCTGTTTAACATATTTTTTTAAACCTACACAAACTAATGGCTTCTGTGGAAAATACTGTATATATTTTCCAGAAATTCAGTATTTGTATGTAAATAAATGGCCATACTGTATTTAATAATATTTATGTCATAGAAAACGGAAAGCCTGGGTCTGCGCAGACGAGACTCGCCATCTTGGTTTTGAATTTTGTACAAACGTTGGTGTAATGGGAAGAATTTTTCATGCTCTAGAGGTTAAAATTGTGTTGACACCTCTCAAATAGGAGGGGAAATTGGTGGATGTGCATTCCTGCATAACTTGAGATATCAGACGACTGGACAAGACAGCTCCAGGAACCTCAGATAAGCTCTCTAGATTTGTGTGTAATTCTGGCCAGCATTATTTTCATAGATTTAGTTAGAGTGAGGTTTTCTGAGTATGATACACATTAATCTCCAGTCAAATTGGTGAGTGATATTAAGATATATTTTCCTTCTGTTATGTAATTGTGTATATA